TACCCATTCCTTTACACTCCCCCTCTTTCTCAGCAGGTACACAGAGAGATTTCTCATTAGAATTGGCTGAGCTGCAGGTGAGCGAGGGGTTACATCTAAATTCAGGCATTTGTATTCCACCACAACACCCAGGGAGCAGGCTGTTTATAGTGATGAGCAGATAGACTTGGCCTTGAACCAGGCCCCACGCCTAACAGCCACATAAATCATTCGGTTTCTTCGAGGCCATTCCAAACAGATAGATCCCACCAGCATTCAACGGTTTGAGGACAGTCTTTTCTGTCCTGAAGCCACGTCGATACTCTGAATCAGTCAAAACAGACCTTTGGACCTCATCGACAGGGTGAAAGGGGGTTCACGGGTATTTCAAATTTTAAAAATCTAATACAGAGATCTGTAATCGCGCAGTACTGCATTGGAACCACATTTATGCATTAAAACCTGGCCCAGAATTTTCTCTCTTGCTTTCTCTCTGTCTAAATAAATAGAAAAAAAACCTAAATTGGAGTAGGTACACATCCTCTCTGGTCAGCAGAGTATTCTGTTAGGGTATCCTGCTTTATAAAGCTCACGTGAGAAAGACACCTGCTTGAGGATTTTTAGAGGTATCTTGAAACAAGAAATGGACTACTTCAATGAAGGTGGTTTGACATATTTTAAAGCTATTTTTTGACTTCCTTATGTTATAATAACTCCAGGGATGTACCAAGCCTGACCCCTTGATTTGTCAGTGATAGGTATTAGCAAAAAAAACTAAACCTGAACCATTGCTTACGTCCACTGCCACACATGCGTTGTACAGCAAGATCAATCAATGACTGACTATTTAAAATTCACCACACTTTTGATTGCTCATACATTGATTTTACAGGCAAAGCCATAAACACATGATACGAGCTGCAAAAGTGGCTTTTACATATGCCTCTGGGATATAAAAACACTGCTCTACAAGACCTTAACCTCACTTAATACATGTGTTCTGGCCAGAAGTCATTACGCATCCCACAAGGCTCTGTCGTGTTGCCTCTTTAGTAGCTAAACCACATAATAATCTCTGGTTGCCTACAAGGAAAAGTCAGCCTCTGGTTGCTACAGTATTAAGCAGCAAGAAGCACAGCAATGTACTCCAGCTAATCTATAGAACTTCAAGTGACCTTGTTAAGGACATCACTAGTTGACACAACGAGCGTTACAAAACAGTCAAGTGTAACCACCTGTGCTGAAGTTCAAGCACTCATAGGTGTTGTTGATGTTGCAGTTAGAAAAAAAAAGGAAAAGGAAAAAAAGCTTTATGTGGGAAGAATGGGTAGTATGGGAACCAGCAAGCATGAAGAATAGTGGTTCACCTCACTGCATCACTGGAGCACTAAACAATCAGTAAGGCTAGCTCGGTTGTGATTGGTAGATTAAAAAGAACTTGTAGACAATTGTTTTTTATCTGAACACACCATTATTGTTAGAGAGTCAGCTTACAATGCTAATAATCCCAGGTCTGTATGCTTAATATGAAGTTAAAGTCAGCAGGCGGTCAAGTTAACCAAGCATAAAGACTTCGAGCAGCCAGCCTGGTTGTGTCCAACAAGTAGCTCGAGCAAACAACACCTTGATAATGTACAACTTTGTGTTTCACAAGGCTGGACTAGATAATACCACACAGAGAAGACGAGCTGCAAAGGTAAAGGCCTCGAGGAAGGTTGTGCAGGTGAGAAGATGGAGATGCAACACCTGATATAGAACAGACTCTCCAGGCTGACTGCTGAGCAGTTTGTGAGTCAGTTGAGCATGAAGCCAATTTTCTCCGCCACCCTGGAAGATGGCGAAGGAGAGCAGAAGCCCCTGAAGAGGGGCCTCACCAACCTCTTTCACATCACTCAGCCTCTTTCTGTCCCTCACTGTCTTTGTATCCATCTATTCATCTGTTTGTTTATTCATGTCCTTCTTTCCGACACTTATTCGCTGAATCTCCCTCTCTGCTCTGCTACAGACAAACATACACTCTCTCTCTCACGAGCAGCAGACAGACCCGAGTGTTGACACAGAGAATCGTCAGAGAATTGTCAGGCTCGAATCAAAGAGACACCTAAGAAATGTCTTGATGCGAAACGACGAGCGCTGGGAGCAGCCCACGGGCCTTCTGTGAATGTATGAGTCCCACAACTCATCTGCAGCTTGTCTCATCTCACAACTGCTGCTGTGTAATATCTCTGCTTTCTAACCATGAGCAAGAAAGCTGCTGCTCCACTCATAGTAGATGACAACACTGCTCAGGTACTCATATTCATGAAAAATCTGAAAAATGTCGCTGTAAGTGGTTTAGTTTATACAGTGCTCTATTAGAATTGACATTTTTTTGGCTCTGTGGTCATGAAGATTCAATTTGGAAAAGAAAAAAAACAACGAGGAGGTTAAAGTGCTGACAGTCAGCTTTAATTAGAGGCTGTTTACATCAAGTTGTAGGTCTTCTTCCATACACGCACATTCCCCTTCTGTCTCCAGGAGAGAATGTAATTGGAGCGATGAAAGGGCAACTCTGGTTTCATAAAAGACTTTTTCACATTTTTACCTATTGTTCCTGTTTTGGAGGGGTCAATGCTTGCCTCTGTTTGATTGTGGACAGAGGAGACACAAAATCTGAGAGAAAGATGGAAATGTCATGCAATCGAGGTTATTCACCAGATAGAAACAAGGGATTGTTAGAAGGGCATCGTTCTCATGTGTAGTAAGACTGTCCTCGCCTCACACATTATTTGTGGCAATCTGGCAACGTCAAAAATCACAAATCACACATTTTACACCCAAGAACACAAAAATGTAAATTACATGTCCAATATGCCCATTCTATTGTCCACTGGAGCAGCGTTCTCATGTTTCTACATCTCAGTCATGTGAGCAAATTCAAATGCTACAAGTGATAGTCAAAACTTACAAAATGAGTTGTCGATAGCAAAAAGTTTGGGATGTTTGGTTGCAAATGGTCTGCAGTTAATGATAGGCTGAATTCTCTGAGCTCCAGATCTTAGTGGATCATTGGCATCTTCCCTGTTGTTCTGTTGAGCAGCACTTTTTCTTGTTGTTTTAGGGGTGTTATTTTGGCTTCAGTCTGGTTTTGAGCAACACATTATGAGTTGTATTGAGTGACTGATTTGGAAAATCTAAACTTTGGCCATGTAACTCCTTGGTTATATTTTCTGTGTGTTGATGACTGGTCTCCCACAATACCCTGCTACAATTGGTGCTCTAAAAACTGCTAACCATGCATTATGCAAAACGACCACAATCAAATGCCCTTTAAGCAGCACTTTAAGCTTACAAATTCAAATACATCAATTCACACATCTTTTCTGATTGCACTGTGTACTAAAAGCTCACATGATCTAATCAGTCTCCAAGATCTTGAGTCAAAAGCCACACTCTAATGCATCCCAAGACCTGCGAAGTTGACAACATCAGCTATTTCAGAGCAGGCACAGCTTCGACTGAGTGATCCTCCATCTTTTTTCCCATCCACCCCCACTTTGCATCAAAACACACAAACAATAATACCACACTCCCTGACGGCCACGTGAGGGGAAACTGGTGAAAGACAGCAGCATAGAGGTAAACAGAAACCTCTGTGGCCTTCTATTGAAGGGTTTTGGAACCTGAATGCTGCAGCTCACAATAGACACTTCACGCCTCGCTGTGTTTCAAACCGCAAATTCAGTCTGCAGCTCCTAAGTGTGGCCCTCTATGACTCGGCCATTGAAAACTGTAGACTCAGCCTCTCTGTGCCTGCAGCACACATTCACAACAACAAGCCGCTGCCACGGTGCTATGACAGGGGAGAAGCGGAAAGAATGAGGGACTCGGAGGCAGACTGACAGACGGAAAAGCAGAGGCAAAGTGAAAGATTGAAACAGACACATAAATGGATAAACTGGGAGAGAGTGGAGCTCCCCCCTCCCTACCAGCAAAAATAACACAACCGTAGCACCAGCAACAGAGGCGGATGAGCTCCAAGCCGTGAGAGTCCCTTAACTCTCCACTCAGCTGTGCATGCCGCCTCCCCGCCTGGCGTGGCGTGCTGCAAGGCCGAGGTGGGATCCTTCCTTCACACTTGGCTGGGCGGTGGACACACATCACACCGTGTCACCTCCACTCACAGAGCATTAGATCAACTCCCTGCTGAATCACAGACGCACTTTCAGCACAGGAGAATGAGGGGATGAGCCAGAGGTTACCGAGGGTCCTTTTAAAAACCCCCTGTGCGAGCCGAGAGTCAATTCTCTGGGCTCTAATGCATCCTGAGACCTTCTGCTCGAGGGGCGCTACTTCAGCTCTTAATTCTACAACTGCCATTAGGGAACTTTTCTACCTCTGCACGCTCGATTATGACACATTATGTGTCAATAAGAGAGCGGCGCTAGGCACAATTTGGGCTCTAAGTGCTATTTTGCGATTTCTAAGCATTGACGCCCACTGTCACAGCAGTGGGTGAGGATGAGAGGGTGCGCTACCTTGGCAACCATATGCATCAAACAGACAATTGGACACTAGAAACAGTGTTTTGTTTTAACTCCCTGCCAAACCCTCGCTGCCAAAATGGACGCCGACACAAAAACACACTTTGCCAGTTGACAAATGGCAGTCAAGCAAGCGGTGACCTTTGCCTTACAGCTAGAACAAAAGGGACGGCAGGGAAAGAGCTGTAGGAAGGTTGGGTAGTCGCTCAGGGGCTGGTGAGCTCCACAGAGAGTGTTAATATTAATAAATTCACACTCTGGTAGTAACACTCTGGTATCATAGATGAAGATATTTAGACGGGGGACGACTGCCAGGCATGGCAACAGACTGACATCTGTGTGTGTTCACATGCTGCTGGAGGGGAAATGCCGTTGAGAAGAACAAGAACGTTTGATTGTAAAAGGCCGGATGTTCACACTGTTTTGGAAAATGACGATGTGGTGTGATGAGAAAAAAAAAAAAGGATTTAAAGTCTCGCAGAAATGTTTCCAACTTACCCAAGAAACCCAGATCCCCTCTCTCCTCCTCCTCGATGGCCAGTTGTCTGCTTCTTCCTCTGTGGTTTTCTTCAATCTGGTTTAAAAAAAGTAGACATTTTATTATCTTTTCTCTTCTCTTTCGCTGTTGAAACAACCCAGACTACAAACCAGCCACAGAAGAAAATCTAATCTTTGTTAATAAGGTTTCTGGGGAGGATGTTTTGCACATTTTCTGACATCCAATACACGTGTTTGACTTGATAACTGCCGTATTACTTTATGTTTGGTTTTATTACAATCTGCTAACAATCTTTTTTCATATTAGAAGTCTCCTGCTCCATCAGTCACAGCAATGATTACACACCAGGAAGTTCCAACATGAAATCTCTCCTTCCCATCAAACGCTTGGTCTTATGAAAGGAGACAAGTTTTTTTTTTTTTCCTTTACACGCATAATCATTCGTGAGTGTGTTGACTCTCTGGAAATGCACTTAAAACACTCCCAACTGTGACAAGTTTTGGAGGTGGAAAGAAGGCAAACACCCGAGCTGTGTAAACCAGAGCGCGAACATGGATTTTCAGAGGCAACAGTGTGTAATCCAAGCTGATAGACAAAAAGGCCTGTGGCTGAGAGCTGGAGGAGAGACACATCTCCTCCCCTCATCTCCCCTCCTGTCTTGTCTCATCTCCTTGATCTCTTCTTCTCTTATCCTACTTTCTTGTGTCCTTATTCTCTATACGTCTCCTTTCCGTTCCTCTCATTCTTCTTCTATTACCGACTGTCACCCTCGCTCCCGTCTTCTGCTCTTGTCCTCTATTTCCTCTCACCTTGTTTCATTTTCGGTCTTTTCTGAATTCTTCGTTTTCCTTCCCTCTCCTCACCCGTCCTCTCTAACCTGCCATAACCGATCCTCTTTTCTTCCCACATGTCGACTCTTTCATGTCCTTCTTCTCTGTCATGAATGTGTGAGCCTTGAGGTCAGGTTGCCATGCGGAGTCACATAATATGTAGAGAAAAATGTAACTTTTCAAAGACTAACATAAAGATGTTTTGACATGTTTTAAATGAGAATGATTGTATGAAATCATATTTCCTCCAAAACCCATGTTATTTCACATAACAGCCTGACAACTGTCTGCTGTGATCGTGCATATTTCAGACCTGAACATGGAATTGAAACGATCGCTTCCTGTCCTCACATCACCTTTCCTCTTTCAACTGGACCAGCCTATCCGTTTATGTTGCCGTGTTGATTTTACTTTTCTACCCAACTCTCCTTTCTTCTCATCCTGACCAACAAAACTTACCAGTGGGTTTGAAAGGCATGTCATCGTTAGAAAAAAAAAAAAAACATTTCACCATTTATCATTTAAAAAAACACCTAAAACAGGACGAATCATTCGTTTTTTTTAAGAAACTCTGAAAGACTCATCTGTGACATACCATTCTATCAGAAACGTTGTCCAAAATCATGCTATTTCATCAAAATCACTTTATTCAAAATATATCTAATTTAAAAAGCATAACAACTTTGCTCAAACCAGATTTTGTAAAAAAAAAAAAAAAAAATGATTCTGAGCATCTCAGTGCAGCTGTGAAGCCACAAGTGACTCAGCTGCAACCAAAAGTCACGAGACAAACATTTAGGGATGTTTCAGCTAAACTGGGCCGAACTGCAGGCTTTAGGGGAGACAGGAGACAAGTATGGAAACAAACTGAAAATGCAAGTTGTAAAATACCCATGGTAAGTGGAGTCACCTTAGTTTTTCAGTATCTGTAACACTTGTGGAAAAAATGATTAATCAAAGAAATGCAACTTTTGTTTTCTCTGCATCTAAAATGTATGGGATAAAAACATTGTTACACTTTTAAAATCTCTCTACTTCTAGATATGGGTGTGCTGCTTCCATACAGGAGCGGGACTTTATACTGTTGTACAAAAGAAAACACCTAGAAATTGTGTAAGGTTCAGAGGATTAAGGTCAGGAGCTCATGTGAAGCTGCATTATTTAATGCGGATGTTTGTCCTACATTTCCACTAAAAATACATATTTGTCATGATTTCTTCTTTCTATTATGATGTTTCATTAACAATTTCTCTTACTAACACAAAGAATGTTTCACATCACAACTACTCACTCTGATCATGAAAATGTATAATGGTTAGGGATCCAATAAAGGGCCTACCTTGTTCTCATCTATTCTTTCCTTGTTTTTTTAAAAAAAAATTATTATTCCTTTTTGCTTATCTTCTCACATTTTTGAGGAGGTGCAACTCAGCTTCAGTGTAACCACGGAGCTTTAGCATGTGGCTAAATCCAGTTTAAATGTCAGAACTAAATGTGGAGTTGAAGAACTGTCAGTAGTTTTCTAATTTGGTTTTTAATTGGGCTACAAAAAACAGTTTCTCTGTTTAACATAACAACTGTACGACTATTTGCTCTGATTATGAAACTTTGGCACCTAAAAATGGAGTCAATTATAAGAAAAGGCTGAGGCATCCCTGTTTGTATCTTCTTTTCTCCTCCACTCGTGTCGTTATTAATATGTGTTATTGTCATGTCTTCATCTCCCTTTATAGGCAATCCACTCCCTTCACGTCCTCCCTTCTTTCATTTCACATTTGTTAGCCTGAAGTCAAGACTCTCCATGCAGACAGGTCTGGGAGACAATGACACACATGCGTCTTGACATATTTTTTATTAAATAAACATAGATTAAGATGTAAAAATCTCTTCATAACCCAAGAACAAAAAGATGCTTCACACGAAATGACTCACTTGCTAAGAAAACATGAACTTAACACAGTGTCACAGGGCAGAAAAGGCTCAGACCTTCTGTCTTAACCTAAGCTGCCCTTTTCTGTTCCTTCCTCTTCTTTAGTAATCTCTACAGATTGTCTTTATTCTCTCCTCTACCTTCTGTCTGCTCGGCCACCATTTGTTTTATGCCCAATCCTCCCGTCTCTTTTCCTTAAACTGTGCCACAGCGAACACAGACACACCAAAAGGAATCGATGGGCAAAATGATTGAAGAAGCCGATCCAATTTACTCCTAGCGAAGGCTTATCGACTTCAGTCTGCTGCTCTAAATAAGAGTCTGGAAGCCCCATTGAGAGAAGCCCACCGCTTCCACTCAGTTTAATACGAACACTGCTTTCCGCACCACTTCGCAGACACGCTATTGTCAACTATAGGTTTACATTACCTCTGTTTCACACAACTAGCACGTGTAGTTTCTTCAGTTGTTTTCTCCAAGGATCACCTCTTTATTTTCCTAACCAAGATCTAACTCTGCAGCCTTTGTGTGCTGTATCTTTCACCAAAAACACATCAGTTGTTTTTTTTATGCTACTCTCCCGAGAACTATATTATTTACTTCTACCTTTTGTACAATTCACCGATTTCAAAAGCCTTACCGCCTAGCCTGGTCTGTATAAGACTTCTTACAGAATATTACAACAGAAAATCTGATCTTCTCACAGCCCCGAATTTAGGAGGATCCTGACCCAGATTTTAAAAGACACTGACATACATGCTCTTCTCTCAGAACATCACATTGGATTATTGCTGACACCTCTGCTGACTCCGTACCTGACTACAGACCTACGGATCAGCTACCCTCTTGTTCAGCTCTTGCATTTAGACATGCAGGACCCAGTTCAGAGTTTCTGCTTCTCTGTGCATGTGTTAAATAGCGGCTGATTGCTGCTGAGATGTCTGAATAAAACACAACAACAAAATGACCTTTCCACATCCTGCTTGAATGAGCCGGAGCCTGATCCCATCAAAAGCAGCCTCCCCTCGTGACATCGAGCCAGCCATCCGACCACCCCACCTCTGCCCTTGGACACCACAGAGTCAGGCGCAGCTCCGTCCAGCTCGGCTGCCATGGTGATAAGAAGGGGGACGGAGGACCGGGACTGAAAATAGCCCGATATAGGACGCCGACAGTGGGCAGCGAGCAGGACTACAAAACCCCTCACAGCAAGAGACGCAGTACCCCCAATACCTCAGAGAGGACTCTCGTGCCGTGAGTCCTGCCACGCAAAATAGACAGCTGAATATTGAATGGATAGGCAGCACAACAATGCAACAGACAAACAAGAGGTTACAGCAGATAAATAAAACAAACAGGATGATCCTGAAACTTTTGGATTTATTGTGTTGCTATTGCAAGATGTTGAGTGGAGCATTTTCACGTCTTTCAGCTCATTGTTTTGGTTTTGCATGCGTCAGTTTTTTGTTTTATGCTTTCGTTAACATTGTTGTCAACAAACCCTGCCAATCATTGAGGCCCTGTTTACACGTAGCAAAAACGGTGATATTTCAATGCGTTTGGGTCTTTGGCTTGAACGGAAACGAAGCTACAAGTCACCGAAAACGATCATATCTGAAAACTCCAGCCACAGTGGAGATTTGTAAAAAGTCTGTCTTTACGTTTGCACGTAGACAGGAGGAGACGGAGTTTTACGTCACAGTATGCGACAAAAGTGTCATCAGCGTCATATGTGTGCGACCCATGTAACGGTGCCAATATGTCCATATACTTGGACTGACATGTTTCCCAGTCAATATTTTCAAGCATTTTACTTGTTTTGCAATCTAACATCACATTCAGGAGTAGCTCCACTTCTCTGTTGGTCCAAACAAATGACCATCGCGCCATTATCGTTGAAGCAACAGGAAGCAATTTGTGCCATTTGTTGTTGTGCTTTTTTCAAGATTCTGATTGGCTAGCATGGCTTTATGCGTCTAGTTACACTGCCCCCTATAGGTTTGGCGTGCTCATGACAGCTCTTAACGATGTGCTTATGCGGGCTTGTGGAAAGGAAGATTTTTTCTTTTTAAACGATCTGGTGTGAACAATGTTATTTTTGAAAACCTAGATATGTTTTTGTAAATACCCAGCTATGTGCAAACGTGGCCTGAGTCACAGAAAGTAAGAGGCTAGCTGGTCGACGTGACAAAGCATTTAGCCACAAAGAGACATATCTTCCCCTCAGGAGTTGGTGGACATAAAAAAGGAGCAAAAAGGAGAGTGACTGTTGCACACA